TGTGGACAAGTTTATAGAAATGTGAACACAGCTTATAATAGGAGGAGATGGGAAGGTGGGGATGGCAGTTTAGGAGTAACGGAACAGAGTTTCAAGTGATACAGCATCCACACAAGTAGAGAAAGAAATCGGCAGGTGTTATCAAGAACAAGAGAGGGAAAAAATCGGTTAGCTACAGGGTGGTGTTTATTATAAACAGTGTCAGAAAAAGAGGAGACGGGGTGATGGGTGGAAGAGTATATCAGTGAAGAGTGGGTAAGGATCGGGGAAAGGGCATTCTGAATGAATAGAATTTCACCACCATGGCTTCCTTGCACAAGGCCTGTGAGGCTGTGAGGCTGCCAGTGGAAGAGGCGCTGGGACCCAGGCACCTGCTTTCACCTCCCCGCGACAAGTGATCGTCACTGCCACTCTGAGCCTTGGCTTCCTCACCTGCAAAATGAAGGAGCTGTCTACATGGCTCAAAATGTCTGTCTTCACTTGTTCTCTTTTTCCCTTGCATAATCACTCAGGAGGATACGTCCTTCTTTTCCAAGACTGACATTTCTACTCTTGTTTCTAATTCCCTGTCGCTTCCACTGGACTGTTAGCCTATTCTCTCTCCCTTCTTTCCACCCCACCCCCACCCCCACCCCTGCCAAACCTCATATATCTCTGTCTTCACTGTCTCCTTCGCCTGAGCGTAAAACCAAACTGCCACCTGCCTCTCTGCCTGTGCTTGTTTTTCTCTTCTTTCCTGTGTGAAACTTGAAAGGATCATTTAAACGAGCTGCCTCCCGCTCCCTACTATGAACTCACTTCTGAACTCTTCAGTCTGAATTCTGCGCCGAACCCCACTATTCCGCTGACCCTGCCCTCCTAGACTACATGAGAGCCACGTCTCTTCTCAGCCGTCCTCCTACCTGACCCTTCTCCCACACTGTGCTTGCCCGACCCAGGCTCCATTTTGAAAATGGTCTTCTCCTTTAGCTACTGGATCACCATGTGCTCCTGGGTCTCCACCTACCTTGATTAACTTTTTTTTTTTCCCCCTCAGGCCGGGACTCCAACCGCTGTTGCTCAGAGCTCTTACTCTTGAGCGAGCTCTTAACCGACTGAGCCACTCCGCCAGCCCCTTGATTAACTTTTCTTTCCTTATTTCTTGCCAATATTTCCCAAGCGTCTACTCATGTCTCAATTCTAACGTTTTTCTCCATAGGTGACCGTTTCTACAGTCAAGATTTTAATTTGTGTGTTTTTACATATAGCCCTCAAATTTATAGTGAACTTGAACAATGCATTTGCAAATGCCTGCTGAAAATCTCCCTGTGGATAGGCTCTTAGCATGCCATTTCGATATGTCTGAATCAAATTGACTAATTTCTCCCGTGAATCTGCCATGTCTTCTGTAGAAGTTCATGACATCACTTATCTATCAAGCCATATTGGCAAAAATTCCCACAGTTGCCCTAACGCAAGCTGACCCTTAAATCCGCGCACCTAATTATTCACCACTTTCTGAATGTACAGTGTCCTGAGTCTAAATCCTCCTTTCACGTCACGAGCCTCACTCTGTCCCTCATTTTTTGTCAGCACTTTGATAATGGATTCTTAATTGGTCTCCTGCTCCCAGAACAACAATCAATCCACATACTGCTGTTCTAAACTATGCAAAAACACGCACAGACTGCCTCCCTAAAAACACTATTACAGACTTTTTGTGCTTTGACTTCATAAATTATTTGCATTCATTTCTTCATAAACATGGTGTTGACCTCCTTTAAGATTGGACCATGTTGTATGGACAAATTTTCTCTAGTGATCAAGGGGTGTTGCCATATTCAGTGGCAGCTACATTGACAGTCCTCTTTTAGGGCACATATTCAATTATGTTTCTAGGGAGGTAGTTTTTAGGGAGACAAACTTTGGAGGTCTGGCTGATCTTGGTTTGGTCTTCACTCTGCTAAGCTAAACCTCAACTGCCTCTACTCTAGTAATAATAATAACATTTATTGAGCACATGCTCTGGCACTGTTCTAATTTTTTTTAATGTAAAACTTAAAACAACTGCCTAAGAAAGGAATGGTATTATCCTCAGTTTTCTGGCAAGGTAACAGGCTTGAAATTAAGTAATTTGTTCAAGATCACCTAGTTCGTAAATAGAAGAGCTGAGATTTGAACACAGACATTTTAACCCCAGAGCCTATGCATTTAATCACCATTAAATACCATTTCCACAGCAAGGATACATAGGATATGCGTACACTATAATATATGTAAATTATCTGGCAAGGGCTCAATGCATGTCACTTTACCTTCTCCCCTCTATGTCAAATAATAAAATAATAAATGTTATGTTTTAAAATTGTGTATGGTTTTCATATATGTACATTTTGTCTAGACAACTAGATGGACTCTTCTTTCTGGTAGGTTTTATTTTCTTTAGTTCTCAAAAAAAATTCCAAACAGTGCCTTGCTCTTTGTGAGTCCTCAACAAATGTTTGTTGGTTGACTGAGTGAATGAGTTAAGGTCTGTTTTTATTTGCACTGTATATAATTTAGCTTTCTCAGAATTATTTGTTCTTACTTTCTTTGTGTAAAAAAGAGAACAAACAACATTATATATAGTTTTATATATATATGATAGATGATAGAGATAGATAGATAGATACATAGATAGATAGATAGATAGATAGATAGATAGATAGATAGATAGATAGATAGATAGATAGATAGATAGACAGACAGATAAAGGCTTTGAAATTGTTACCCAAACTCTTCCTCCCTTAGTTTGTTTGTAAAATGATGTCTTTCTCTAAATGTCAATGGTAGGAAATCATTGACTCTTACAGGCTTCTCTACCCTTTGAAGCTGGGTGAGACCCAAAATGAATTTGACAAAATAATCATTGGAATTGCTCAAAAAGATGGCAAGCAGTGTCAAGAGGAAAAGGTGAGATTGTTGTAGTGGGTTTGAAAATAAAGGGCAATTTCTCTCCAGTGCAAAACACTTGGACAAAAATAAATCTTTTTCTTTTTCTTCTCAATTTTAACCTTGTGAAACTTTTCCCAATGAAATTGAATGCATTTATTCCATTGTTGCCTTGGGATGGTGTTGTATTTTTTTAGGGCTAATATTTAATTAAAAGTTTATTAAATGTCTAACTTGTTTAATAATATCAACTATATTCTGTCACAGTTTATTTGTCCCTTTCTTGTCTAGTATTTTCTCTCAAGAGGGGATACTTTGAGGTATTTTTTTAGTTGAAATACAATTCCTAAGTGAAAAAAAATCTTTGAAGAACAAAATCACTAGGTTTAAAGTACATTTTAAGCATTTTCTAAATCTAAAAAATATTTTGGCCATATTCCCATGACTAGGTGAATTAGAAGATTATACAATTAGGAAAAATTTATTGAAAATTTTGCTTAAAGTGCTACCGTGCTCTCAATCTGTCATTGCAAATGGGAGAATGTATTCAAACAGTAAAGGGAACAGATAACTAAAAGAAAGAAAATTTGGTTGGTACATTGTAAAGAAAAACAAAGACCAAGGGGAAACTCAACATGGATTCCTTTGATGATACCAAGTAATTTCATGGAAATAGTGGAAATCACCAGTTCAACTAAGATAAAACAATAAAAATTTGGTCAAAAGTTTAGAAAAAGAGATTTACAGAGAGGACTAAGATGTGGAATCTATTTCTTTGGGGAATTCATGAGAAAGAGTAGAAATCTACTTTCGGAAAGGGATCAAGTACATTTCCTGTCTTGAATCTGGGGATACATTGGATAAATACTTCCTGGCACTATGAATTTCAGATGTCTCCCATTTATAAACCAAATCTCTTTCTAAGTTGGCTGTTGAGTGTACATGATGAATGTGGACTCACAGAAACACTAAGTACACATGGAGGTCTGTTATATTGTCCCTCAACTACGATATCAATGTTCTTTATATGCAAGTTCTCATTCTTTCCAGAAAAGAGAGTGACATGTTTTTCAGTCTTGGATTTCTTGGAAAATCTATGCATGCACAACATTTTGCAAATAATTTTAGCCAGTTCATGGAGTCTGTGAATCTGTTTCTTAGAGTGTAGCTTTCCTGACTCTGAAACTTATTTTTTCTCTAATGAGGACCTAAATCCTGTTTCAGGGCATCTCAGCGCTGCCCACCTTCCTGGAACTCTGACAATTATTTGTCCTGTCAGGCTCTGAAAAATATACCTTGGGTGTAGAATCAGTTTGAGCTCTCACATAAAAGCACGGACCTTCAAGCTAGTGTTTCAATAGTTCTTACATAATGCCAAGTATTTTTACATAGTTGGTATCATTTAATTCTCACAATAATCATATGAACTTTGACTATATTAGATATGAAAAAATCAAGTCTTGGAGAGTAATGTACTTTTTTTATTGTTCAAATTCACAAAGTAAATGACTAAATATTGTGGAGTTTTTAACCCAAATGCTCTGACTATATCCACAGATTCCCCATTTTATGCAATGGATTGATATCACAGTTCCAAACTTACATCTAGGGTCATATATCTTTCCGCAGAATACTTTATTCCTGCCATTTCTTGTAATCGCTTAATCCTTCAAAACTTTTTGAATTCCAAAGCCATGCCTTCTGTAATTAGTACCTCTGTTTGGCATTCATAATGTAAGTTCAAATGCCAGTTCCCAAACCCTATATAAATTGTCCCATGCAAATAATCCCTTTACATTTCCTCTATCTCCATTTGCAGTGTTATTTGTAATGAAAAATGTCTTCCCTGTTTGAGTAGAATGGTCAGCCAGGAGTTATCTCTTCTGAATTCACCTGGGGAATAGGCACCTGTTAATTTACTGTGTCTGACATATTTAACTCTTGGTAAAAGGGAAGGTCTCTCTAGACCTATAAATGTCCTGATGGAGAGTTAACCCAATATAATATCTCTGTCCTGGGAGTTTCTGAATCAAGTAAGAATAATTCCGCTAAGTGGTGATTTATTAAATCACCAATCCAATATTACTTACATATTGAAATGCTCAGCGAAGATCAAGTTGGTGGAGGTACCGGTGAGTGTGGTCAGCCCCCCAATGGTAGAAGAGTAAGTGATGCACAAACACATAAGTTTACACATCATGTGGTCCTTCTTTGTTCGGTATTTGGTTCCTGTGACTGCATTCTGTCCAACAAGAAAATGCACTATGAGAACTGCTCTATCTGTGGTCACAACAAGCAGTAACAGCACCTGTTATGGACTGAATATTGGTGTCCCCCAAAATCCATATGTTGAAGCTTTAACCTTCAATGGGATGGTATTTGGAGGTAAGGCCTTTGAGGGGTAATTAGGGCTAGATGAGATCCTAATGATGAGGCCCTGGTCTGATGGGGTTAGTGCTCTTATGAGAAAACATAGAGCTTGTCCCACCCCCCCACCCCCGCCATGTGAGGTCGCAGAGAGAAGGTGGCTGTCTGCAACCCAAGGAGACAGCCCTCACCAGACATGGACCCTGCTGAAGCCTGATCTGGGATCTCTAGTTTCCAGAATTTGATAAATAAATTCCTGTTGTTTCATCCAGTCTATGGTATTTTATTACAGCAGCCCAATAGTGCAACCTTTATTTTTCCATCAATAGAAATGTCACAATAAAAATATTTAACTTGAAACCGCTGGAATATTTTACACACATAGTTTCATTCACTTGTGCATGCTTCTTTCTAATTCCTGAACCAACTCTCCCCTCCTTTTTTCTTCCCTTCTCACCGTCACCCCCAAATCTTTCTACTGGTTTTCTGCTGAACCTGAACCGGTAGTGCATGGGAAATACATTTCTCAACCTCTTTGTGGAGTGTTTCCCAACTTTGGTGCCTTAACTGATAGCCGCCTAGAAGATACCACTTGTGAAATTGAATGTTCTCAACCCCATACATGTCAGCATAGAAAGATGGAGTCAGTGTCTTCCTTAATTCCCACTATCTCTTCCAGAAAATGAATCCTCTACTATTATGAAAATAAATCCATTTTTCTTGAAGGCTCATGTAATTTGGGTATCTCTTTCTCTCCCTATTCTTTTGAATAAGATAGTCTGACCTCCTGATCACCCATTGCTGTCATTTAAGATGACATTTGCTCCCCGCACACAACATTCCTCCACCCTCCAAATCCTGTCAGCATCTGGATAATTATAACATGTTGATAACTAACCCTTCAAATATCCTGGCCTCACAGATTATTTTACCTCATTTCCAGAGACCTTCAACTCTGCTCTATCAGTTAGCCTGTCCTATAGTTCCACCCTGAGCAGCAGCATAGCTTCAAAACGCTCCACCCTGAAAATCACTATTTCAAATGTGTTTTGTTTAAGAATAGGACTGCCTGGGGTGAAAGAAAAATGCAGCCTCATTCCTTCTCTCACCCATAGTCCATATAAACACTGTTGGTCTGATTCTTGCTGTCCCTGGGGTAAAACCTAGGGCAGAATCTATAGATTTTCTGGTCACTTTATTTAATAACTACTCTTTCAATCATGTTTAGTAAAAAAGCAACCTCATTTCTGTGGTTGAAAGGAGCAATCCTCCATTCAATAGCACAAGTCCCAACTTTAAAGTTAAACCTTCTCCCCTTATATCTGGCCTGCTTGAAAGTCCACAGTTGGAAGGTTTGTGGGTTTGGCTTTTTCTCTGTCTCCTGGCTCCAATTCCTTCCATACTTGTTAGTCTCAGTTTCTAGAACCCTCCATACTTGGAGTGGCCAGGGATAAACAGGATCAGGAGAGGAGTGGTAAGAATTAGGAGAGGTTTTACTTGACTGGTAAAATTAAGATATGACATTAATATTCCTTAGGCCTGATGGGTATTCAAGGTGACTCCATCTGGTGGGTGCTTTTATGGATTATTAAGTTTATCACCCAAACAATAACATTAGAATCTTGCTCCTTCTATGTAGGTAAAATATCTCTTCCATTTGGTTGCTTATGACTTGTGGTTTCTGCATGTGAGGGTCCACCACATCTCTTCGCACTGAGGTCAACTTGCCCCACAGGAAAAGTTGCTTTTCTAATGACCCAAATATCACTCTTCCCATATATTCCTTACATTTAGCCCATGGGAAACAGGCACCTCTCCCCTGCTGGCGGTGAAAGTGTAGCTAAAACTCCAGTAAGTAAGGGGATTCACTTTCAGATTTTTCTGGTGTGTCAAATACTAGTCCACTGATCTCTTCTAAGTCCAGAAAACAGATTCTCAGGTTCTACAAGTGGTGGTTTCTCTATCTCATTGTCTTGAGGTAAGTGAGACTCTCCTCCCCCTTGGTGGTACAGGTTAGAGGGCATTGGGGAAAATGTTCTCTCAGCCTTCTCATTTTCAACATGAAATTGAAGAGTCAAAAACTGATTTTCAGTCATTTCCTTTGCAAATCCTATGTAAGTGCAATACAGGAATACTTACAGCTTGTGCTTGATATTACCGTTTCTCGGGGGTAGAAAGCTTTCATCTCACCACCCTATTAACAAAGAAGGCCACTCTTTTACCACAGCTGCTGCTTCTAACTTTGCTATTGCATTACTTCTATCCTTGCTGTCCTTCAACTCTACTGAAAAGTCTAGGTCACTGAAGCATCTAATTATCCCCAATAGAATACTTAACGGTCCTCTTTTTTCTTCACTTTCTTTCTTATCCAGGTTAGATTCCATGGTAAACCAATGCATTGACTGTACTGGGGGGAGCATTTATTTATTAAGCCACTTCACAGAGGTATGATTGACATGTAAAATGCTGTACTTATCTAAGGTATACAACTTGATGAGTTTGGGGATAACTATACACCCTTGAAACCATCACCACCATCGATAACTTTCATACCGAAACCCTAAACTCTCTTTCTTGTCTCTCTTTGAATGGTAGTTATTTAACAAAATTTCAGCTTTGGATGAATCCAACCATTTACTTTCTCTGTCCTGTCTGCCCCTGAGCAGCCATGTACTGTTGGAGAGAATTACAAACAAAGTCAAGGAGATTGGGTTCCCTACTCGCATTCATGACCACAAACTTCAACTACTGTGTCCATGCTGCCTGTTTACCCAACTGTGTTCCTCTGACCAAACTGCTCTACCTGTCTCCACAAGAAAATTTAAAACTTTCCCTATTCGCTTTACACCACCTTTTCAATGCTCTGTCTGCCTTGTCACAGGTAGCTTTACCTCCTACGCCACAGGAAAAATGGAAGCCAGCAGACAAAGGTCTCGCTGTCAAATGTAGAAACCTACTTGCATCTGACCTGCCTTCTCTCCCTTTGCTACACACATAATAGAGTAAATACCTCCCCTCCAACTTCCTATTTCCAGACCCCAACCCCCCAGGGCTTCTCAGAAGCCTTATTCATGCAATAGGCTTTACTGGAATTTCCCACCAACATTTAATCATTTTCAAGTCATCTTTACAAAAGAGAGAAAAAAAGAGCTTCTTAATCCTCCTCTCAATTTAACTACTGCCCTAACTCACCTCCATTTTCACAGCCAAATGGCTCAAGAGTTGTGTACATTCTGACTCCATTTCTTTAGCCACTCCAATCTGGTTTCTGTCTCCTCAATCCACACCCCAAATGCATTTGCTATGATTCTCAATAGCCTCCATATTTGGAAACTCAACAGATACTTTCCAGCCTCAATTTTGTAGACCTCTTGGCAGCACCCACGAGTGGATTATTCCTTCCTGCTGGAAACTCTTTTTTGGGCTTCCATGATATCACACCCTCTGGTTTTCTTCTACATCTCTGCCTGGTCCTCTGTTTCCCTCGCCAGTTTATTTTCCTTTATCCTTCCTCAAAACTAGAATTTCTTGAACTCTGCCATAGGTATTTGTCCCTTCTCACAATAACATTTCTCCTTAGGAAATCTCATATATTTTAATTGTTTCAATGAATATAAAAATATCAGACCACCAAACCCCTGTCTCCAGCCCAGATTTCTCTTGTTAGACCTGTACATTCAATTGTCTGTTCAACACAGTTTGAATGTCTTAAATAAAATTCCAATTCCAAAATGCTCAAAACCAAACTCATCATTTCCTTCCTCAAGCCTAGTTCTTTAGGATCAATGATGTAAGATAATAGCAGTACCATCACGATTGTTACAAACACTTACAGTGTGCTTAGTACGTAATAAATACTATTTTAAGTTAAAAATCAAATAAATGGTTTAAAAATTCGTGTTATTTTTACAACACAATGAGGTTAGTACTGTTGTTATCCCGTTTTACACGTGAAACCATGAGACCTAGAGGATAAGTGACTTGCCCAAAGTCACACAGCCTGGAAAAGCAGACTTAGATTATGCAACCACATAGAGCTTATACCCCCAGCCACTATACTAGGTTGCTTGTCCTCCTTAAAATCATTCTCTTCCTCATCCTACCATGTCCTCTCAATTTTACCTATTTAAAAATGTCTAGCCTCTATTCGCTTTTTTCCATCCCCATTATCATATTGCTCTAAGATGACATCATCTCTGATTTGGGTTACTGTAATAGTAATGGGTTACTTCTGGGCCTCCTCGCATCAATTCTTGCCTATTTCAGATCTGTTCTACACACTGCAGCCTTTAAAAGAAAATCTAGATGTATTTAAGAAATACAAACAAGGATTGCCTCGTTCCATACAGTTACACAGGCTGTCTGTGACAATGGCATTGAAAGATCTTTTTGAGAACTCATGATAGAAATAAATGTCCACTCACTAAACGCCATCATGGATATGGGAATGGCATTTAGCACGACGGGGTCAGGTGCACTACATGGCAATTTGCCGTCTACTTTCTAATTAACCTAAAGGTTATAGCCCCCAGGGGTATCTACTCTTTACCAAAATAAATTAATTTACAAATGTCTCCTTTGCCTTCTATTTCCTACATGGAAATGATTTGTATGCCAAATGATACAAGTTTCCAAAAATAAATGGTAAATAAAATAGCAAAATAAATTTACAAATTCTTATGAGTGAAATTTAGGACCTAAATATGAATTATTTTACTATAGGAAAGACCTCAAATGCAAACCAGACAGTGGTGTATAAATTTGGATATTAGTAAGCTGAAAATAAGAATGAAAACTTAAACATGTCATGTGTATATAATTTCTCATTGTCACATTACAACTTTCAAAAATACAAAGAAAAACTTGAATTTTATG